GGGCCAGGAAATCCCTCAACCAAGGTGGGGGGTGTTGCTCTAGTGCACATGTACAGTGGATGAGAGAATGCAACTCTCTGTGGGCACCACCAAAGGCAGTGGAGCTGGAAACACACTGGGGAGGGTAAAGGAGGCCCCTGAGCTTTGGTCCCCACAGAGGATCTCAGGTAGGCAGTCCAGAGAAACTTGGTGCTGTGGCACCACTTGGAGTACACTTAGCCATGGTCACTGCTTTGGCTGCTGGACAATCCATCCCTCCCAAGCCAGTTTTCACATAGAATTAGGAGTGAGAAACTGCCCAAGTACTTGACCTACTTTTGGGCAGCCCAAGCCAAGTGGCAAGCTGCTGCAGTCTGTCTGTACTGCTAACTCCTCAGCAAAGGTTGAGACATCCTAACTCCTCCATATATTCTGTTCACACCAACAGGGTGCAAGGCTGGGTTATAGCTCCTCTTGAGTCATTTTCACAGTGCAGCCATGAGCTGCATCCTGCCCTTCCAAAGGGAATTAAAGCACTGAAGCCGAAGACACATCCTCCACATAAAATTCTGATCTTTTTCAATATGCTAGCAAGACACTTTTAGCACATTACTGAGTTGCTATTGCAATCAACATATTCTGGCAGGCACCTCATGGGATTTAAAGCTGTAGCTGTCCACTGCTGAGAAAAATAGTTGCCTGCATTGTTGTCAAGAAAGCAAAATGAGACCACGAGTACCACAGGGAACCCTGTAACACTGTGTCCTATAAGTTCACAGGTATCCAGAAAAGGCACAGGTAATATGATAAGCTGTCTCCAGGACTGCTGAAATGACTGAAGATACACACATTTGATGCTTTAGATTAATTAAGATCTAATAACCCAATATCACTTTGGCTCTGATTTAGTGAGGAAAAGAAACAGATGAAATAATGTCTGATGAATAGAAAATAATAGGTATAATGCAGACAGAAATGTTACTTTCAACAAGCTTAAACACCATTCTTATAAAATACTTCTACATGGACATTAGTCAGGTGCAAAAGAAACAAAAAGTAGGGGAAAGAAAATTACAGACCTCAGATGAATAAACATGAGGAACTGCTTCCTTCTTGGAGTACATGGCATGCAAGGACAGAATTGTCATTGGAGTGTTTTCAAGGTGTGCATATTCCCAGTATGTCCATACATTTCTTGGGTACCACTAAACTCCCAACAAGCTTAAGGCTAATGATTCATTGCCCATTTCGTAGCTTTTGCCCAGAGTCAGATCATCTTAACGTGCTTTTGATATACTGAAGGGTCAACACACCCTAGAGGAGGCTGAAAGGAAAATAACCACCTTCTAGGTGAGGTTGTTTTAGTGACTTTCACTACTGTGCATGTCACTGTCACAGCAAAGACAAACATTAGCTAAAGAGGCCAATAAATACCACTCAAACAAACGGCCACACTGTCAGAATCACTCCCATGGCCACATCGTCAGAAAAAAGCATGTGCCCCATCTGTTCATCCACAACAGCATCAGCTCTGCAAATACAGCTGGGAAGATCAATGGCAACAAAACATCGATTTTGTTCTATTTTCTTTGTCTATGCTGCTTCTATATGACAGTTTGCATGTAACAGGGGACATCTCATGTAGTCTGAATCAAGGCTGCAACACCATGAGTTGAGACTGAACAATTCTACTGTTACTGGGGAAAATCAAGGGTGACAGGTGTCAGTAAAAACATCTATAGACATCTTGAAGTGCTAAAACACAGGTAAAAGTCATCACATGGAAAGATGAAAGAGCTACTGGAGTCTGAGGCTTGTTTTGTAACAGGCAAAATTTGCCTTGGACTCCTGTCTTCCATGAATCACTCAACCTCACACCTGACAGTATTGAGAGATACTATAATTAGTGAGAAATGTATCACATTGCCATGTCTTGGATAACACAGAAAGATACCTCTAGCATTGAAACATGAAATAATAAGAGTAACTGATGCTATTAAATAACAAAAGTAAGTTTATTTTATCAACATTATAAATATTTTCTTTCCCTCCATTTAACTCCAAAATGAGATAGTAAAACCAGTACAATGGAACAATTCAGGAGCTCCTCAGTTCTACTGAAAAGGGTCCCCTTTAAATAACAAATTAAAATGGAAAATGACATTTTGGCAGTCCAGCAACCTCAATAGCTGAGCATCTCTAGGTACTTTGTCTTCAAATGGAACAATTCTAAGTGTGTGCACGTATGTGTGTCCATCTATATATATGCATACTTATAGATATACATATATATGATAATATACACACATAAATAAACAGAGCCACAGAACAGGCACTTTCAGTAAATCAAAATGTTTTACATGTAATTTAAGTGGGTTTGCATGTGTATACTGAAATTTGGGTCCTGCCCAGTGCAGGCACAATGATACTGTGCTAAGCTAGATGCCAAGTGCTTAAGAGATTGAATACATATGTATGCGTCACCTCTAACTGCTGCGAAGTCTGCCTGCTTCTGGTGGCTGTCCAAAATTGAGAATCACATTGCACTTGAAAGGGAGTGGGTAAGGAATAATCCTGCAGCATCCTGGCCCCAATCTCATTCCCCCAGTGAACCAACTTTTGATATCCCTGGCTGTGTGTGAGCCATTGCAGAAAATGGTATGCATACTCTGTTATCTACAAATAAAATACATTGCCACTATCTAATGTATTACATGTGCACTGCTTTGGGACACCTTGAATATTAAAGGCACTACATACAGCTAGCTCCTGTCCTATCTCCAGTGCTGGGTTTATTTTCATCGTGCAGTAACTGTCTCCTGCTGAGCACACGGCACAGGCAGCTTTCCAGAGGCACAACAGGCTCGCTCTGATCACAGCATCATATTCCAGCTATCAGTGAAAAAGGCAAGCCAGACTCTCTTGGATACTTTAAGCTCCTGTGAGCAGGCCAAATGGCACAAAGGAGCTCAGGAAATCTGCCCATCCTGAAATGCTGCTCCAGAGCCAGTCCTGCTGCAGCCACTCTACAGGCATGAGGGATGTCTCAGTGAAAGGAGGACCAGACCCTTATCATAATTCACAGGTGGGCTCTGGAAGAGCCTGTGATTAGAGCAAGCCTTTTACTGCTCCACCTGCTTCATGGGAATAAAGGACCAGGGAGCTGCAGTGGGCTCACTGACCATCAGGCACCAGTCTGGCCTCAGCACAGAACAGAACCAAGTCCGTGGTGTCACTGAAGCTTCTTCCATTTCTCACAGTAAAACAAAGCAAAGAGATAAAAGTGATACTAATATAATTCTTATTTTTACCAAATATATAATAATATTACAGTAATGTCTTCCTCACAGCTGGGAAATGATGCAAGGCCTACCATGAAACCACAGCGCGAGGATCTTCCTTGTGGAAATTTCACATACACTGAAATTATACTCTGGGTTTTTTTATTTTAACAGTTGCCAAATTCTGTTCTAATATATACACATGCTGACCTTTGCCACAAGCCCTGGATGATTATCAAGGGAAGGAATTTGGCTTTCATATTTTATTTTTTAAACAAGAAATGTAAAGACAGAAAATAAGACAAAATACATTTCATGTCGCCATTGATCTATAGATTACAAATATATAGTTTCCTTCCAAATGAAGAAATACTAAAGAAACATTTTGCTCATATCAAATGAACTTTTGAAAACAGAAATAAATTTAAACCCCCATATTTTTAGCTCCTTCTTCTCTGCCACACCAATCACTCTTGTTTAAAAAAATCAATAAATAAAAGGATTGCATTCATTTCATTTCCGCTTCTACCAAGGAAAAAAAACTTATATCTGAATAATGACCTGAGTTATTTTCATGGTTTCCAAACTGCATGGAATCCTGATGATCACCACCTACCAGCGACTTACACCTAGCAAGGCGCATGAAAACAAACACCAGTGTATCTTTCAAAACAAACAACAAAGTAAAATTTGAAAAACTATTGCAAGAATTATGCCAAAAGTGTGCCATGAGTGTCTTCGTGGGAACTGGTCAGACAAAGTGTAAGTGGAAGCTCTGTTACTTCTGGCAGTTGAGTTGTCTGTAGTGATTGAAAACCTGAAGGAGAACATTTTGCTTGTGCCTGTGTGTATGTATATTTGCTTTCTCTTCTTTCATGGTTATAATCTTTGAGGTAAGACAGAGAACAGACGAGTACAGAAGACACGGCTAGCCTTTACAGTGGCTAAGCAACTTTATGTTTCCGAGCCTATAGTGGGTAACAAGGCAAAAAGCTGCTGCTTTACCTTCTCCAAGGGGATAGCTTCTCTGAAACTTTGTTCCCTTAGGGAATCAGAAAGTTTACAGGTTCAGATAAAGAAGATTTTCCTATTCCAAGCACAACCAGGTGGTGCTCATTTATTTGTTGACAGCAGCAAGCCTAGGCTGACCACTGATGTTCTAGGACTCTTTCCTACCTCCAGCTGTTATGTGAAGGGGACTGGGTCCATGAGTCAGTCCATAAGAACCCCCTCCGTCTTGCACCGATGGATTATGAAGGATCTCTCCCCTGTGTAAAACCCATCTCTTCAAAATTAAAAAATATCTATCAACTTTTAGGCAGGCCTGAAACCAAAGCTAAACCAGGTGTCAGTCAGTATACACACAATAGTGGCATGAGAAATCTTACTGTTAACTTTCTGCTTTGCCATACAACATGGTATATCCTATATAATCATTTCCATACAAATGACTGTCCCATTAGGATACCATAACTGTGTGCACAGCAACAATGTGGAGATTAGGTTTTGTTACTGCTTTAAATATAACTGTGCCCCACACCCTGGGAAACAAGGCAATAGGCAGAGTCCTTTCCATAAGTGAGAAAACTCCGTGGTGGTTGAGCACTGAGGATGCAATTTCCGAGAGAACAGCAAGGGAGGGAATGCAGCCAGTAAAAATACTGGGTTTTTCCTAAGGGCATCCAGAGCTCCTCAAATTTTTTGCTACTGCCTGACCATTTCTGAAGACTTAACACAGAGATAACAGGTACTATTTAACTGACGAGAAGTGAGGGGAATGGAAGAAAGAAAGGAATGCAGGAAACTTGGTTGGGTGTCTTAATGTCCCAGTTCGTTTGGCTCCCACACACCCTCTTTTTTCTTTCCTTTTTTTTTCTTTTCTTTTTTAAATAAATTGTACAGATGAACATGGGAGAAGTTCATGCTACTTGCTGGAAGCAATAAAGGTAAGTTTCCGTGGCCCATGGATTCCACAGACCTTTGAGTGTCCCGCCTTATCCATCATGGGCTAACTTATGGAACCTAACCGTTCCGTGGCAAGACTCAGTAGCCCTTAGAAACTGGTGGCATGTCCTCAAGTATTTTCCACGAAAGCGAGAGACACGTTGATTCCATCAGCTTCTTCCTCACACGATGCCCGAGTGCCTCAGGTGCAGTTTGCGATTTCCAAGGATCCTCTTTGACATTTTCAGGCTTCAGACTGCTGTCTCCAGATCCTCATGGGAAACCATTTGGTAGTTTTGTCGACTCTCCAGGTAGGAAGCCAGATCTGGGTCACCAGCTTGCTGAGCCCTGTCACGAGGGGTCTTACCCTATAATTAAGAAACAGGAAGAGAAATTCTTGTGCTAACATATTTAGAACAGATGAAAGCACGACCCAGAGAAGTTACTACAGGAAGGACAGAAACAAATTTAGACAATTTACTTATTTGTTGTACAGGTTCGTGTTAAGTTTTTCTATCAGTCATGAGATTCTGAAGATTTTCAAAGTCCTTGTGTGGTTTAGGAAAAATCATGAAGTTCTGCAAGGAGATGCTGTTTGATACATCACATGGAAGGACTCACATGCTGGAACTGATTTTTCATTCTATGGCTCCGATCCTTAAGTAAATGAATATGTCTCACAGTACTGTAACTACCACTTGAAAAGTACACTTCAGAGACTACACACTTTGCTAAGTATGTGCCCAATATCTGAGATGAGTTCAACATGTCCCATTCTACCTCAAGCACTGATCAATTTTCAGTGCATCAATCTGCTACCTTGTTATCTGAGCTACCTTACAGATACTGTTGAATTGGACCACAAGTCTTGATCCTGAACTATGAAAAAATATTGGAAACAAGTTAATGTAACAAATGTAACAAACACACTCCTGCTCCTTGGATTTCTAGGCAGATGAAGATTAACAAATCAGAAGCCACTTGTCTGGATTTCAGCTGTTGCAGGAATTATTTTTTTGTCATGTACAGTGCTCTCATCTGAAGAAGAGGTGATCTATGTCCCCGTAGAGGTGACATAACATGGTAGGAATTGAATTTTATTGTCTTGTTGCAGCAAAGGTGCTTCTGACTCTGGAATCCAGTGATACAACCACCTCTCAGTTATGACCACTGTGCACTCAGAAATGCCAGAGGGGCAGCTTCCGGACCGGGTTCCTAAGTGAATATTCCTAGGATTTAATTTTGCCCAGACTTCCTTTTCAGCTAAATATACACCGAGAGAGGGTTGTGTCACATCAGTGAGCATAGAGGTAAGCAAGGGCAAAAGAAAATGGTTAGCCATCCCCACAAAACAAGTCAGCCATAATAATGAAGCCTCACAGACATTATACAATCACAAACCAAGGCTCTCCCAGGCGGTCCTTGCCCACAGGCCTCTCTTCTGACCACACAGGAGGAGAAGGATGTGCCACAGAGATACCTCATTCACAACCAATGCACCATAGAGTTTAAGGCCAGGCTCTAACTATGGTGAAGATGACCCCTGAGTTGGGTTCTGAACTGAAGTCTCTTGTACTTGTTTAAATTAATAGAGTTAAAAAAATAAATGGCTTATTATAAAAACTGCTGCTTTTGGCACAGACGAGGAAGACTCAATCATGCAAATAGCAGGGACGGATGCTGATCAGTCCTGCTTGGCTGCAGTATTTTATAAGTGGTTGATGAGCCTGGGTTACCTTGGAGTCTGTCTTTCTCAGCGAGGCTCCTGCATCCACCAGGAGCTGGCAGACGGCACGATGGCGCTGGCAGGCTGCCTTATGTAATGCTGTCTCACCCCTAGACCAAAGTACAGAAACCAGCAGTGAGACACATCACACCATTTTACATTTATGAAGTATGAGATGCAGAGAACAGAGAAGTATGCTGTATTTCTGCAAGGTTCCCTCTTGCTGGCAGAGGTAGACTTGTGCACTCTCTCCCTCAGCATCTACATCCTTTGACTCAGTAGGAAAGCCTGCAATGCACAAATAGCAGACAAAAAACTTCTGAGGGTGGGAAAGAAACATGCACTGGTTTTATGTGTTCAAAGGACTGAATGTCCCATCCAACCACCAGTTCTGCTAACTGCTGCAAAGGCAAACTAGCCACCTTCTTATTTCACAGCAGGCAAAACAGCACCAGTGTTTGTTTCTTCCTGCAATTTCTTCAATTCCTTCAATTTCCTCAGCCTCACTCTTTCGTAGAAAAATCCTGCCCATGAAAGGCATAACTGGTGTACTTGGTGGCCTAGTTCTGATACCCTGCTCTTGGATGTACGAGAGCAAGAGTTGTGTTTTTGTTTTCCATCTCTGGACTGCTAAGCTACTGAGGAATCTTGAACACAGGCTTTTCAAAAGAGAAAGCTGTGGGAACAGGTTTATTGCAAAGCTCCTCTCTCAGACTGGGACTATGAGTAATAGGATTCTGAGACTGATTGTAGTAAAAAGGTTAAAGAAACCTATCTAGATTTTTCTAGGAAGAGAAAGAAAGTATGCTTTGAGTGGGTTGAAAAGGTATCCTTAATATTAGCATCCAACAAGTAGGGCCATTACATAACCTCCAAAATAACAAATGAGAAGAAATATGTGTGGTAGGTCAAATCTTACACCTGCCTACCCACCCATCCAGAAGGTGGAAGTGCATAAAGGAATTTCAGCTTCAGTCCACAACAGGGCAAGCTGAAATATTAACAGGCAACCCTGTAATGAATCTGCCTCTGCTGCATGAGAACTAGATTCAGAATGGGATACTGTCTGATTTTCCCCTAAGGATCAAAAGACTGATTCATGCTGCCAGTTACAGCTTGAACCTTCCCTTTTCAAGCATTAGCAGCAGAGAAACTTTTGTAAAGGGAAGCCCTCATAGCCGTGTTCACTTGCTCTTTATTTCAGAGGCTGTGCTATGCTACTGAATGAAGAGAAACAGTTTGTTCATCCAGACTCCACCACTCCCGGACGGCATACATGCATCTGGTGCTGAACCTTTCTGGTGTTATCCACTAGCAGAGGAGGGCACTGTGGGATGAGGAATGGTGGGTTTAACCCATATGACGAAGGCGACTTTTGCTTCCCATATATTTCATACACTTCCCAGGATGATTCATGCTTCCCTTACATACTCCTTGTGACACCTTGATTATACAACAAGACATAGAGCAGTTTGGAATTGGAAAAAGTGTGGTGGGCTTGGGTTGTTTGTTTGGGTTTTTTTAATAATAACAGAGGTGATTCAGGTTATAACTGCTTGAGAGAAATCATAACTGCACAGCTTGTGGCTACTTGGGACAGCTAAGGCAGAGCACCCTGGATGAATCATGAAGGGACAGATGAAAAGGTGTAGAGCAAGAAAAGCAATTTCCTGACATCTGGAATTTACTCTTTAGGTTGGTCCCTTAGTAACTGGATGCCAGAAACATCAAAGCAAAATGCAGGATTTGTGTTCCACTAGAAAGATTAAGAAGGTAAGGGAAGCGATAGAGAGGAAGTTCTTTACAGAATACAAGAAACATTTGTTTTAGTCCAGGAAAGCCACATATGAAGTAGTTGTTGTTTGAGTTTAGGGGGACTCTTATTTTCTTGCCTGTTTTTGAAGAGCTGTGCCATTTTACACACTTTTTTATTTTAAATTTTGCACATGAAAAACAAGAGAAGTCTGCTAGGCTAATGCACATAATGTGAAGGGCAGGGTAGGTTGTACTCACGTTTCGCTGTCTGTCATGTCCAGTAATTCAGGTGGACCTGCAAAAGACAGTCAGATATGTCATACAGCACTTGTCTGCGTGACTAGAAGAGTACAACTACCATAACAAGATTCCTGGTGAAAACATGAATAAGAAGCCAACTAAAGCACAATTTACACAAATATGCCAAACTTCAAGGCAATATTTGATTGGACGAGCCCTTGCACGAACAAAATTCCAAATGCACAGTCACTGCTGGAGTGTCAGCGTCAGGGAGTAGCAGCTTCTAAATTATACTGGGAATGAATATTCATGGAGTTTATTTTCTTACTCTTCACCTTGCTCAATTAAGTGGCTCACATAAGTACGGGGTATTGAAAATGCTGATATATTGGAAACCCTGATATATTGCAAGTTAAAATCTATTGTTAATACTAGAGGGAGAATGTCATTAGGAAGTTGAAATTAGCCAAATTCTGTCCTGAATGACATCTCTGTGCTACTCCATTTAATAGCGTTATACAGAATGTAGATCAGGGTGGAATATTCCCAACGGTCTTTATATTGATATGCAAATCCTGTACTCTGCTGGTTAGCAATGATCAGGAAAGTAAGATTAAGAAAAACAGAAAAGATTTTTGTTAAGTGGGACCAAATGATGCATTTATGCTAATGTTCTTTTGTCCTTGATGTTCACTACAGGCAGATGTTTATAGCAGCAAATTCCATTGCTGAATTACAGTGATATGGAAATGCTATGATCTGGATAGCATTTGAACCAAGAAAAACTTTTCCCTTTGCAGTCTATTGTATTATTCTTCAGTACTCTGAAGCGTAGTGCCAGTTGGTATGGTGCAGTTAGCAAGGGGAACAGGGAAACTATATGAATTTTCTTTCCTATGCATGAATATTTCTCTTCAGCACACTTTGACTTTGAAATTTAAGAGTCCTCAAGAGCTTACAGCAAATCTCACCTGAAACTGAGGAATTTCACACTACTTGCTTACAAAGGCCTACACACAGCCTCTCTACACTCCTTTCACACTGAGTCTGTGTTAAAGTGGATCAGAGCAGTCTGTCCCTCACTGCTTTTACAACACACACACTCAGTATCATTGGGGGCAGCTGACTGCCTCGGCTCCTGGAGCTGCAGGTAATTCCTTCACTGCTTCTTCTGTCAGCAGGAGAAAGAGGTGCTCAAAAAAGCAGCATGCTCAGTCCCCCATGCACAGGGCATTGCATACCTATCATGGCAGTTCTCCAAGCTGTTTAGCTACTGTCAATTTTTAATGCACAGCACCCTGACTCTACTGCCACATATCCTCATCTCCACAGTTGTGTTCACTCCTCCCTAACAAAGTGAAGAATCGCTCAAGACCCCTGGCTCCTGTAAGCACGAAGAAGGATACAGGGGGCTAAGCAGGGCCTGTTGTTGTTATGAAAGATAATGCCTGTGCAACTAAAAACAAACAAACAAACAAAAAAACCCCTAAATAAAAACACAGATTAAAAAAAAAAAGGGCTGCTTTACATCTCATAGGAGAAATCCATGTTCCCTCAAAAATAGAGGCAATTTCCCATGGCTTGTTGCAATGACACTTTCCACTAATAGGTAACCAAGAATGGCCTTCAATGTGTTAGAAAAGATACTGCCAAGTAAACTATTATTTCTGTTCATGGGTGGGACATGGAAGATTGTGATGCAAAGGTGGAACAGGGTGTGCTGGTTGCATTGGGCATAGAGGTACTTGCCCCAGTAATTGAAAAAAGATGTTCAAACATTCGGAGGAAGAATAGAGAGAAATGAGAAGAATATGACCTGAAAGAGAGGAGAAGATGCAGCAGAATGGGTATGGAGAGATAGGAAAACAAGGGTGAAGGAAAACTGGTCTAGAGCAGGAAGAAACAGCATGGCTAGGACAGAGGAGCTGAGGACTGAGGACTGAGTGGGCAGCCTGTGAGTACAAACCTGAGGAGGTGCCAGGTACATCGCACCTGTGTGTGAAGGGTACCCTCCTGGCTACTGTCCCAAATAAAGCATTTCATGGGAGTGCCCCAAATCCATCCTAGTCATACATAAGGGCCACATATTGAAGTTAATCGATTAGCAGCACAACATGATACCAGGATTCATTTGTTTCATTCTTTCTGGCCTATCTTTGGAGCTGGAATGCCCCAACTCACGCACAGCCTAAGCTGCGCCCTTTACTATTTTATTTTCACTTGTGCTTCTCTTAAACCATCTCACGCCCTCCTCCTAATTCCCTTTCCCCTCTTTTTTGGACCTCATTTTTACATCAGTCTCCCTGGCGCTGCCAACCGACCATTCCAAATCCCCCTCTGCCCTGGGACAAAAGCTGCACAGATGTGGGAAGGGCTGGCACTGGGAAAGCTAACAGCACTGTCATCCTGACCCAGCAGGGAGGCAACTGTTTTACTCTGGGACAAGAGGCAGAGAAAGAAAAGGGGACCAAGGCGCAGAGAGAGAGAGGACAAAATAACCCAACAGAAATCCGGAAGGGAAATGCATGAGTGAGATTTCTATCAAGGAAAACAGCAGGGGAGGAAATAAAAACAAAAGATAGAAATGTGTGGAGAGGTGGAGGGAGGAAAAATAGAGAGAGAGAAAGAGAGAGAGAGTCTGGGGGGCTAAAGAATGGCAGGATGGGGACGGGGGGGAAAAGTTCGCATGAAAGGAGCTGAAAAGCATGACGCACTGAGGGGAAGCCCAGCTGAGATCACAATAACATCTCTGATAGACTGTCAGTGTAGAATTATTAACTTTCCTTCTCTCCTTCTGCCCCCTTTCACTACACCAAAGCCCCTCTCCAGTTTCTCAGGAGGCAAAGCAGCCTGAGCTGGGGATGGGAGGAGGGAAGGGAAGGAGACATTCAAAAGCAGCTGCCCTTTAGCTGAGCTCACTACAACATAAAAGACAGACTAAATGACCATATTTCAGAGGCATTTCCAAAATATACAGCACCTGCAGTCCAAAAGGCCTCTAGGACAACAGCGCACTCTGCGCTCTCCAGTGGATGTGGTTACAGCTACCCACAGGAGACCCATAGTTATTAACCCCTACCAGGCGCTTGTCCTGTCAGTCCTTCATAGAACTAGGGAAGAAGGGTATTTACTTTAAAGCAGTAATGTTGGACATTATCAACATTTCTGGGTGCTTATCTATCAAAATCCTCTTTGCTTAACTGAGGTTGTTATCTGGGGGACAAAATTGAATTCGGTTACTTACCTTCAAAGAGGAGTGTTTTTAAAATAACAGTAATCTGCAAAGTCAGAACTATTTCAAGCCTTTCCCTCACTCCCCACTCCTCATTTTTACCCAATGTGAAGATTAACAATGTCTGGTTAGTACTGTTAGTCCCCCTTAACTCAGAATTTCCTCTGGAACATAGATAGTAGTCGGGTTATGGGAGCATGCCTTCCATCATAATTGTGTCTCAACCATGTTGACCTAACTTGGTAAACTTGCAAATTAAAATAGACTGGTTTGTACCTTGCACCTTCTAGGAAAACTAAGCTGTTTTCTGCTTAGGACCCTCTACAAACCTAAAATCATTCTGCAAATCTAGACATACTAGCAAAAGTCAGGCAAACACGCTCTTCTTCAATCTTTCTGATGACTATTCAAGGCTTTGTCCCTGACATATGTGTCTGTCATGGCAAAATCTGCTTTCCAAAAGCTTTCTTTGAAACTCCTGAATCTGGTCAGGATTTGAATCCAAACTCAGTATCAGCTCTTCACTATTGACTTTATAGTGCTAAGAGTAACAAAAGACTTTCTTATCAGAGGATGCTATGTAATGGATCAAGGACATTGAGGTTTGAAATGTTCAGGATGGGATGCTTTACTGACTGTTCTATCAGAAGTTCCCACCACAAACTCCTAAGGCAACTGCAAACAACTTTCTTTTCTTCTGTTTAAAATTAAAATACCCTAGATGAAATACAGAATTCTTGCTTGTCCTTTGAGCCCCTAGAGAAGAGGAGGAGGCAAACAGAATGTCGTGTTTAATGGTTATAAATAATAAGTAGTTCACAACTGCCAGGTAAAGACTCAAAGCCAAGTTCAATTCCAAATACAGATGAGGATTTAGGAGGTCCTTTTTCTGATGGAGCTTCTTAAGCCTTCCTTAATCTTGTTTGTGTTAAGCAAGTAAACAGTTAACTCTTCCCTAATATGTATGCATTAGGGTGTGAGACAGTTGCTGACTGCCGCAATAAACAGATGTGGTTCTGATACCTACTGACATCAGCCTTCGGTTTCTAGCTGTGTTTCTTAGCCCAGCTACAGACAGATCTTAAAAGGTGACCTTCTTATTACAAGCAAAAGACCTCTAATTTAGTAAGGCATTCTTGAACAACAGATAGGTCTATGTATCTGCCCTTCCTGCACAGGGAACAGGGAGGAACTGTTTTGCAGGAACAGCAGCCAACACAACTGTTCCTGCAGCAGTAAGCAGCTGTTGTCCTGACATCTACTACATTGGTGCTTCAGCTGCTATTCTAGGCTTGAGCTAGTCCACTGCTAAGTATCTGGCGATACTGCACAGCAGTCTCCTTGTATGACTCACCTCTGCTTTTTCTAATTTAAGAAGGGTTATTTTCCTCCCTTCAACATCTGAAATCATTCTCATCAAGATCACAGGACAAGCTCTCATATTAACATACCCTGCATGTTTGAGGAAAGCGTAAAACCATCTCCACTGTATGGAGCCTCAGCATGACTATAGCATTTTCCCTCCTTCATAATGCCAGTGCTGTGGGCCCCACTCCTGTACTGTATTTGATTTACTCTGCTATTTTCAAACTAGGCAGTTCAAATTCCTGATGAGGTGATTTTTCTCCTGTGCAATTTTGTTGTTGCTGTGTTTTTTTAAAGATATTCAGAAGATTTTCTTTGTGTCATTAATAATAGGTTTTCTGTGTTGTGTGCTGGAGGGTATTTTACACTGGAACTCCTGTTAACTTTTTCCAGCCATGCATGGGAAGCAGGCAAGCTACAGAGGAAGTGTAGCTGTGCAGAGGTAACTGACAGAACAAGAGTAAACCTCATTTTTATCAAGGGTGGATATGAGCAGAAATGAGAAGCTAGATACAGGGAAAGCCTCAGATATTAGTAGCATTGGGTCTAATAGAGTAATTAATGTTGAGAAGATGCCAGATGCAACAAAAAAAAAAAACCAACAAAAACCCAAGAGCATTATGATGATGGTGATTCAGCAAGAGAGCTTGTTTGTGACTAAGAAGTGCCCAGGGTAGAAAGTAGTTTCATTAATTGCTTGGTGAGAGGAGACCAGAGGCTTCTCTTCTTCTCTTAGAGCATTGTCCCATGCACTCTCTGATCCCCAGAGAATGTTAAACAAACAATGCATTTGGAGAAGCCCAGAGGACATATGTCTGGAAAGCTGCAAAAGCTTTCTGCCATCCTTAAGGATAAAGGGGAGAGAGAGGAACTGAGCTGCCATTTGCTCAACCTTCTGATTTTCTTTGTCTAATCCATAGTCCATAATCTCTCACATGTCTCTATTCACTTCAAAAATTCCCATGGATTGCCTGCTCACATCCTTACCAGATTAACTGATCTCATCTTAAACCTTCACTAAAGAAATGGCGACTGGGTTAGACTGTGACTAAGTTAAGGTATATGCTTCAAAGAAAAATCCTGGTGAAGCAGCCGTGACAGTTAATTGGCACAGGTCACATGCAGTGTGAGAAGAGACCAGAGGCAGTAAGAAAATTAAGTGAAATTATGACTGTCTACAAAATTCAGAGGCACGTATATAATCACTGTGACTAATGACATAATCCAGAGAAGTTAAATAGGAGTTAGAGTTAGCACTGGTAAGGCTTGTTACAACTGGTAAGAAAACTAGTCAATATTTGGATTTAAGGCCAACTTAGCTACCTATATGTAGTCATCTACACATAAAAGAGTAAACGAGCAATTCAGCCACCCTCGGTCTGGTATTTCGGGCACAGTTCAGTTGCCCTCTGTCATGCTTTAAGCCCAGCCAGTAAGTCAGAACCATGCAGCCACTCACTCACTCTCCCCCATCCTTCCCCACTCCAGGAATGATGGGAAGGAGAATCGAAAGCATGTAAACCCCATGGTTTGAGATAAGAACAGTCTAGTAACTAAGATATAATATAATACTAATGCTAATAATAATAATGACAATAATGATAAGGGAAACAACAAGGGGAGAAAATATAAAACTAAAAGGGGGAAGGGAAAAAAAACAATAAGCACAAGTGATGCACAGTACAATTGCTCACCACCCAGCGACTGATAACCAGCCAGACTTGAGCAGCAATCTGAGCCTTCTGAGTAACTGCCCCCAGTGTATATACTGGGCCTGATGTGCTGTTGTATGAAATACCCCTTTGGCTAATTTGGGTCAAGTGTCCTGTCTCTGCTTCCTCCTGGCTTCTTGTGCCCCTCCTTACTGGCATGAGAGACTGAGAAGTCCTTGATCAGGTTAAGCATTACCTTGCAACTAAAAACACCAGAGTGTTACCAGCATTGTTCTCAGACTAAAGTCAAAAACACAGCACTGCATCAGCTACTAAGAAGGACACAAATAACTGTTACAGCTGACCCCAGGACACCCACACACAAGACATTTTGTGCCATTTGATATCCCTACAGACAAGCCTTGGGATGCATTTGGAATGAGAGGGATGTTTGCTTGGCCTCAGCTGCCAGTCTATCATGGGCCTCCTACACGCCTTTTGTGCTACCTTGTAGACCCATGCAGATGTCCTGGGTATCCAAGGGAAATGACATTAAATCATAGAATCATAGAATCATAGAATCACAGAATAGTTAGGGTTGGAAAGGACCTTAAGATCATCTAGTTCCAACCCCCCTGCCATGAGAGCAGGGACACCACACACTAAACTATGCCACCCAAGGCTCCGTCCAACCTGGCCTTGAACACTGCCACGGTTGGAGCATTCACAACATCCTTGGGCAACCTATTCCAGTGCCTCACCACCCTCACTGTGAAGAACTTCTTCCTTATATCTAACCTAAAGTTCCCCTGTTCAAGTTTAAAGACATTACCCCTTGTCCTACCGCTAGAGTCCCTAATGAAGAGTCCCTCCCCAGCATCCCTGTAGGCCCCCTTCAGATACTGGAAGGCTGCTATGAGGTCTCCACGCAGCCTTCTCTTCTCCAGGCTGAACAGCCCCAACTTTCTCAGCCTGTCTTCATACGGGAGGTGCTCCAGTCCTCCTATCATCCTCGTGGTCCTCCTCTGGACTTGCTCCAGCAGCTCCATGTCCTTTTTATGTTGAGGACACCAGAACTGTACACAATACTCCAAGTGAGGTCTCACAAGAGCAGAGTAGAGGGGCAGGATCACCTCCTTTGACCTGCTTGTCATGCTTCTTTTGATACAGCCCATAGTTATGTTTAAGTAAATGAACAAAGTGCACAGGTAACTGTCAGCTGAATCAGTCGCTGGGCTCCAATAACTACCTTGACTAGGGTCTCCCTTGAGCTAGTCATGCTAGAAGTCTGCTGCTATTAAAGATGCCCTCCTCACTTCCACTGAAAGAGGATAGGTCTCCTCTAGTACCTCTGTGATACATGTGCAAATGAACAGATCTCTCTTGACAGTACAGGAACTTAGACCCACAGGTTATCTGACACCTGTATGTAAACATATAGCTTGACACATAAATTTAGGAGTCAATCTCAAACTAAATCCCACCCCAATTAACACAAATGTTAACAGATGGATTATTGCTTCTTTGTTCCTGAGTTGTGCTTATTTCTTCTCCCTGTACAATTTCTGCAGTAACTTTCAAGCATTAGCTAACACTTATTCCAATTGCCAGAGGCAGTCTCTGTGTTTAGAGCTAACACTGCTGCAGAAATAACATAGCTGATTTTGACATCCAGAAGTCAAAATAGCCATTGATATTTTGAAGAGGGATCAGAGAAGAGTTACAAGAATGTTTAGAAGACCAGAAAATATTTCCTAGAGTGCAGGAGCATAATGACTGGGACTTTAGCAACAATATTACTGTGCTACTCTCCAGCAATCAGTGAACAAGATTACAGTAATTCAACAGGCAGAAACTCCTAAATGTGACTGTATCAAATGCATACACACACACAAAGTGCTGCATAGCCTGTATAAGGATGCCTGCAATGCTGTTACTAGCAAAGGTAAAAAGAATCAAAAGGAAAAAATGGAAATTACATGATCACAGCCTATAAATATATAAAAATAAAAATATAGATATAAATATAAATATGGAATGGAGATCACAAATCTTTGTTATCAAGTCTAACAGAGATAACTTTTTTATTGAATCTAACAGAGACAGAATAATGAAGGGTTGGAAGCAAAGCTAAGTGAATCCAGTCTACGAATAAATGCACATATTCCTAACCAGCATCTTACTAAATATTGAAATAACATACTAATGGCTGGATGGACTCTCTGTTGATGTAAATGCTTTAATGGAGATTAGGTGCTTTCTAAAATATATGGTCTAAATGAAAAATAAATTTGTTCAGAGGATTCCTATGCTAGAGGTTCCAGCTAGAATATCACACTGTTTCTTAACAGCCCCTCAACTGCTGCAACTGTGAAAACACCCACCCTCCTCAAAAGCTGTCTTTATTTTCATTTCCACACTTTCCCTTTATCTGGAGCCATCACTGGCATTGATGCCACATTCCTAGCCGCCTGCTCACAATGTTCTGCAGGTGGACCTTTAGCTGAGGGTGACGGCAGACAACTGAGGGTAGTTCCAGCCACACGGTGTGGTTTTACTGGCTAACACTTGGCCAAAGAACAGATCTCTGTGGATTTGCCCACTGTGACTCACCATGTTCCAGGATGTATTTCACAATCTCGCCATGCCCTGTTTTGGCAGCATGGTGCAACAAGGAGCAGCGATCAGGTCCTTGGATTAACAAATTGGCTCCTTTTTTACAGCATTCTATGAACTGGGGAAAAAAAAAGAAACACAGAAGGATAAGATGCGAGGAGCAGAAAAACAAATTCTCAGACAAATTATTTACTAATTTTCATAGCAGGGCAGTACAAAAATGGAATAAAATGAAAAAAAATGTTACTAAAAAGCCAACTTTTAGGCCTTGATGAAAAAATGTCTGAAACTGGAAGTACTGACAATTATCTGAGTTAAGAAAAGCACTTTGTATTTTCTAAACAATGAGTCATTTTGACTCCACTGGCAATGAATTATTGCTTGCTAGCAATGCTTGCAAACCGCTTCTGGTGATGCTGTTGAGATGTTTTAGTATTCACATATTTAATAGAAAATTCTGGCTTCTCTACTGAAAATACCTATTTTTCCTCAGCACAGAAGACAAACACTTTCTCACTAAACCAGACAACTTCAACTCAAAAATCTGCAGAGAGGTGGGGTTCAGGTGCTCCACATTGCCATTCTCACTTTCTGCCCCCTACCTGGGGCTGGCAGAGGGAGAAGCACTGTGCTGAGTAAGAACAGGCAGGAAACAACAGCCTGACAGGTCTCAGAAATGTTGCAAAATCAGGGGAGGAGAGGAAATGCACTGCACATCACTGCAGAGAAGAGGGAGAGGATTGCAACAGAGGGGACATAATTTGTGATGCAGTACATCTGAAGAAAGGGAAGAGTTTCCCTATCAAAGTAAACTTGAGCAAAAAGTTTTCAAGCTGCAGAAAGGGGACAATATTTTTATGACTTCTGGTTGAAGAACTGCTCCATAGATGCTGCAGACACAAGTGCACTGTCGGAGGTATAGAAGGGGCACCTCCAGGCAAAGAGTTGGCCTAACAGTACTGTCATTTTTACAAATGGCTCCAAGCTGGCTTCTCACAGATAAAATTGCAATCATTAATCACAGTCCCCATCCAAATTCGAGGGTGTGTTTTCAAATCCTGACATGGCTACTGAAAAACACAGCCTGAGTAACTGTTAGAAATGGAACTTCAGACTCTGGGCACAAAACATTTTTGCACGGGTACTTTTTCCTCCCAATATCAGACAATACCAGGACACTACACATTTTGAGACATCCATCAGATGATAAAACAGCAAGCTGAGGTTTATTCTACCTGGTCTAGCAACTGCCTTGGTAGAAGTTAAGAAGTCTCCAGCAACTCCAGGGGCTTGGCCAGCAAACTCAGTGTCATTAAATATCCTTTACCGTGTAAGGTTGTGTCAGAACTACCCTGCTGTGCAGCACTGCATTTGCCAGTATAGTAATTTCCCTGTTAGTAACTGACAAATTGCTCAGTGCAATGCATTATGAATCCTGGGCTGAAAGATGCTGTCTAACACCAGATCCTATTCACTTGAATTTCACACCTCACCTGACTGATGTGTTCCCCTAATATTCAGGGTTTCCTGGAAAGGCTGTAAAATGGCACTTGCCAGCAATCCTTGCAGCAGTCTATTTATGTTTTGAGCAGAGGTGTGATAAAATTTACAATATTTCAGACCTGCAAAAAGCTGTGAAAAAGAGGACACTCAGTACTCTGTACTTACCTTCAGCAGATCACCAGCTATGACTGCCTGTAAAAGTGCTGCAAAAGACAAATAGAAGACTAATGTCAGGCAGAAAGTATTATGCATATAGCCTCACAGCTGAGAACATAGCTTGCAGTACGTGCAAGTTAAGACCAATGTCTCAGCCCACTTACATTCTCATATACTACCAAAATCAACGCAAAAGCAGCACTGATACACATTAGAAAGGCAGAAGACTGTCCACATTGTACTAAAGCTGTATGGACATCAAGCCAAACTTTTCTGATGCTGCCCTGGAACTGCACGCTTCTATCTGAATTTTCCCCTTGAGACACTTCTGGCACCTTTCAACAGTGTCCGTAAGGCGGGCTTCAATCTCCAGCACCTGAGCCATCACTGAAGACATCAGTAACAAACACAAAGAACCTCTCAGACTTTTCTTATTTATGGCGGTGAGTCAGCCTCAAATACACTGACAGTCCCAAGCTGCAGATGATTAAGTGGCAAATGATAAATTTATTAATAATTACTGGTATTACCAAAACGTTTTGACATGCCATTGGGCAGCAGGTGCCCCAGGTTTGGCAGGCAGGGTCAAACACAGAGCAGGAGCCAGCCCCCACCTTTGAAGTCTTTGTAGTTTAAACAAACACAGAAGGAAAAAGAGACAAAGAGGGGCAAAGTGAACAAAGATTCACAGCAAGGCTGGACAGAGCTGTGCACAGAGCTGGGGGCTGCTCAACACCCAGTACTGTCTGCCCCATGCCCATTAAGAAGAAGGAAGGCACAAGCCTAGGATCCAGCATTGCCCTATCCTGCATTCAGCTGAAAACGCTATTGTGACAAGTAACCATAAACGTGAGAAGCTGTTACAAATCCACTGCTATGCAGCTATTTCCCGCTTTTCTCTGTCTTGATATATATAGTAAAACCCAATTGTGAATAATCTTTCTGAGAAAGCACTTGCTTGGTTTGCATCTTAGAAAGCATTAAACACCTGCCTCAGTTCATACTTTTCAAGAGTGCCTAAGCCCTTTTCTATCTTCGAGTCTACGCAGTGCAATCAAGTTAAGCATTTGCTGAAGTGCCATCCTTGATAAAGATGCCAAAAGCTCACATAGGGAGGAACAAGGAGAAAAGAGAACCATAGTATAGCCTTGCCTCTGAAAAATAACATGCAGGAAAATGCACAGTGTGAATTCCACAAGGAGCTTGTTACGGCTTCAGAAATGACAACACCTTCAAGCTAACCACTGCAGAAGAGGAAGGGTGTGCAGACAACCCAACAAATGTCCCTTTCTTTGAAAACACCTGGGGTTGTGTGTGGCTTTCTGGTCTTAGCAATGTCTCATGCCCTGGCTGTGCAGCAGCAGGAAAAGCAAAAACGCAGCCCAGTTAAGTTCTGACTTGGGAAAGCAGTAGCAGCAATTCTTGTAACATTTCGCAGCAACCGTGAATTAAACTAAATCCTGCAAATCCCCCTGGCACCTGTGGGAGTGAGGACACACAGATCTGAGGAATGGAAAAAGACAAACACCAGCAGATAAGAGCTAGAACTGGAAAAATACATGTACATCTTTTCTGCAGATTTCATTTTCAGTGGTTTAAGTTCTTTATTTCCCCCCTCCCTCCCTTCCCCCAACCCATAGTTCCAATACTGGCTCAGCCCAAACTAATATCAGAGCAGAATTTAACCCTTGTGCCATTCATTTTAATTTTTTCGTCCTTTTTTGCTGATCTGGTCTCACTGCCACAATTATTCTGTGGGCTACTGCAGTCTGGAACTGTGTTAAATAATTTGCTTTCCTACACATGCGAAAATCAAATGAACTGTTGACACCAGCGTTTCATTGCCTTCTACGTCATGTATTTTATGATATGGCTTCCCAGAATATACTTCATAAAAGGCAGAGATAATTTTTCTTATGCAAACCATACTTAAGATTATAGTTCAGAAAAAACAGCAGAGACATCTAGAAAACTATGAAGTAAAAAGAAAAGCCTGGCAAGCAGCAAGAAATCTTCCACATTGAGTATCCATAACCAGAGGTTGGTCTGATGATAAGGCTATTAGTATAAAGCAGCTCTAAAACACATTCAACATAATTAGACCAATCTTTTCCTCTCTTTCTTAATCCTCCAATCCAGCAAAGCATTAAGGCAGGTGCTTAGCTTTGAGATAATCACATTCTTTCACCAAATCTACCTTCACACTTAGGTGCTTTGCTAGAGTAGAACCTACTGCATAAATGAGTACATTACAGATCAACAAAACCAGCTGGCATAAGCAGCAGATTAGACTACAGCAAAATAATTCAATGCTATAAGCCAGGGTGCTGGAAGACTTAGAAGCTATTGAACTAGAAATGTAGAAAGGTTCTTTAGAATAGGGAACACATTTACATAAACATATGAATATTGCTTAGCACACTAACTCCATAAACCCAAATGGGACTGCTGGCCATATTGACAAGGAGGGTGAAGATGGCAAAAATCACCTGGTTGTTAAAGAGGTGGTAAAACAAGCAAGCAGATGGCATTGACAAGAGAGAGCAGACTGAGAAATTGGACAAAAATGCTGTTAACGTGCAATGCCAGGCTAGGTTATAATTAAAGTGAGAATGATTTTATTTCTTCTGAGCAACACTGCACCACTGGTGTAATATATAACATGAATTATGTAATTGTTTTGTCATATCATAAAATACCTTCAGGTCTTAAAGATAGCTCAAAAAATAACTTGATTTAATAAGTATTTAAATCTAGTCATTATTTTCTCAGCTTCTCCTAAGATAAGCATTTATCATGACTAATAAAAATGTTTTATTACCTTTTTCATTTCTTTAGCAAGCAGATTTATTGCTGATGAAAGATGACAGCTTGACAAAACTGGAGACTGAAGTGCTCTGTCCATATAATGAGGAAGCGCTTGGTCTGCTGTGGTGGTAGACACCCTAGGTTCCCTTCTCAGAAAAGTTCAACAACCCTAACCCTCTACCAGTACACCCCTACAGACAGCCCCTGCTCCATACCTGCTCTATCACTGAACCAGCAAAGGTACCAGTCACTGCCCAGGATGATGCATCTTGACAGAAACAATTACCTGCTAGGATATGAACAGCCAGAAATGCAGACTATGTGTGTAACAGCTGCTAGAGACTAGCAAGCTGGGTGAATTTTGAGATGAGGTTCTAAGCACCCGTGCAGGACACCTTGCAAAAGAAACCTCAATTAAAACAAACACACATACACAAAACAACCTCCAAACAAGCAAGATAGATAAACCCCTATATTTGGCTTAGAAATTAAATATTGAATAGGTACAGGTGGATAGTGCACTAACAGGAAAAGAAAAAGCCATGTTAAAAAGGCCACAAATTAAATTCTGGTAATGCTGCAAGCTAGTGCAGCTTGAGACATGGGAAAAACAACTACTAGCACACCTACACATGCTGAAAACAATACCTTTCCTGTGGCATGTGCCACTCTTCATTTCTATGTTAGTGCCCACTGTTTCTATTGGAAACAACTATTTTTCTTTCATATTCTAAAAATATACATTAATGTCACTGAGTTACAATAAACGTTTTTGTTTCCCAGCCATATAATTAACCTACTAAATAACAATTGCTCTCTGGTTCTGCATGTGAAGTCGGCAACATTAAAAGTGCACTGCAAAATCAGTCATTAAACACTGAGAAACAGATAATGAAGGAGTGAGATATTTGTACCTAGTAACTTCAGAGGCTGCAAGATGCCTAGGAGGTCTCACAGGGCTGCCTGGATAGTCAGAAGAGAAAATAACCCTCCATAGAAAGCAACCTGGTGTCCCTGCAATAGTTTCTGATGTGCATCTCCCTTCACAGACTATAGACGTTCTAGGGAAAATTACCTTTAACTTGCAGTACCTAAATGATGAGCCAAACTAGGACAGAGAGGGGATCCTTCAGAATGGCATCATGCCAGGAGACATGTCTGATTGCCTGTGAGAAGGACAACAAAAGAAGAGCAAAATGGGGGGTCCTCCTTTCCTTTAAGGGCTTCCAAGGTATAGATATTCCTGGGACCAGGCAATGGTCATAGTCTCATAGTCTCAGAAATTTTGGGAGCTCTCTGTATAACATACAGGTACATCAGGAGAGGGCTAACAAAGACAGACCCACAACTTCAGCATATCAAAAGAAAACAGCAGGAGAGGGACAGAAGTCATTGCTACCATTTCACTCACTTCAAGAACAATGAAAATTCTTAGACTCAACACAAGGAAGAAAAACTTCAACCAACAACTACTGCTTCCAAAATGCCCTGCAGGAAAACTCCCTCCTGTTCCCAAAGCCGTTGATCAGCTTAACACCAAGGGCATAAGCAGGGCTCAGCACCAGGCTACTATCATGGAAGAATTTTCCTGCTAAAATACTTTCAGAAAGACCATGGAGAAAAAAAAATCTTCTAAACCCTTGTAAGCAACATCTCAGGATCACAAGATTCTTTGTTAAAAGTAGGTTGACATGAAGATGTTTAGTAAGTTAGTTAAATAATCATTAGTGAGTCAGTGAGACGAGTTGTCTTTCACTGTAAAGTATCTCCAAGAAAAGTACAGCTTTGCAGTCTGCCACTGTCAGTGGTACAGAAGTAACGTGTCTTTTTACATGATGAAAAGTTATTCATAAACCATAAATATCTTCCAGACTTTACCAGTGATATTCCATATCTGATCTGACCCTTTCTACACCAGATTTCATAGAATAGAATCATAGAATATTTAGGATTGGAAAGGACTTTAAGATCATCTAGTTCCAACCCCACCGCCATGAGCAGGGACACCACACACTAAACCATGTTGCCCAAGGCTCTGTCCAACCTGGCCTTGAACACCTCCAGGGATGGAGCATTCACAACTTTCTTCGGTTACCCATTGCAGTGCCGCACCACCCTCACAGTAAAGAACTTCTTCCTTATATCTAATCTAAACTTCCCCCGTTCACGTTTAACCCATTACCCCTTGTCCTATCACTACAGTCCCTAATGAAGAGTCCCTCCCCAGCATCTTTGTAGG